TAGTCTACAGTGTATATAGGGATTGGACAGGTAAGGGGGGTACCCCTCCGTCCCATATCTTGCCTGGTATAAGATAAACACAAGTAGAAGGGATTACATTTGTTTATATCTACCTCTCCTATTGGTTCATCAGACACCTCCAACTCAGCTGCCTGAAAGAATAAAAAGGATATCGATTATTAAAAAATGTCAAGTGTGCAAAAGTGTCAAGGGTGCTTCATGGTCCATCGGATGATTGATTCATTTTTTACATGGAAATATGCAGGTCCTGACTACTTCCTAATCTTGTGATCTCCATCTCAGTGAGTTAAAGGTTTCTTCATCGCCCATCAAAGCTGTCAAATTTTACGTTTCTGTCTCTTGGGAATTTGTCCTGTTGGTGTCACGGTTGGCCATTTTCTTAATCCAGATTGCATTTCATTGGCAAATATCTTGCTCTTCGGAACCATTTTTCCTGGCCACTTTCGGAAAATGCGCAATCCAATGTGCAAAATAAAATTTCCATTTAACGTAAATTTCGAAAATGGCTTAAAACCTGGCTTCATTTTTGCAATAATAAGCATTCGACTTCGGTTTGCATCCTTCAAATAAATGAACATGCATTATGTTTCATTAAGGAGGTTATAAATTTGTGACTAGAATTTCAGATTGACGTACATGTATTACCACAAATGTGCATTCTTATTCGCAGAAAATCTGTCTTTTACCGTGACTATTTTCATTTGCTGTAATTTAAAATTGCAAAATATACGTTCAATTTGATGAGATATACAAGGCTACACAAATCATTACTTCACAAAAATGTTATGCAACTCATTAATAGTGTGTTTTTTATCAAACCGTAAAAAAACTTCAGGTTTCTGATTGAAACACAGCACAAGAAGGAAGGTTCCCTTAGCGCGGGTGCTTATAGGTTTCCTACAAGAGTCGGTAGTTTCCAATGACAACATGAATGGTTTATTTCAAACATGAATATTCAAACATTTAACCAATTAACTAAACACTTCAAAGAATGTCACTTCAGTTAGCACACAAACGAATCCCAACTCTTGACCAGGCATACGCTAAGTAACACTTCGTGTGAAATTGCCTGGAATGTTTACAAAATAGATGAGTTCAAATTTAGATGAAGGCAGGATGGCAGAGGTGCATCCAAGTCTGCGCCAAAATGAATGTCCATATACTAAACCAGTGCAATATCAGGAAATTGAACGCTGACTCTATACAATTGAAGGCACCATTATTGAAGTAGAATTGCTATTTGTTAAATAGAACCGTGGATTTGAATATTCGTTCCATTTCACTCAAAAACAAATGCTGCTATTTCTACTTCATTCACACATTTTCCGGAATTGGCCAGGAAAACCAGTACACCTGTATCTGTCTTTGTTGGGACTTTGCCTCGACACAAACGCATGGCTTTGACAGTTCAACCCACCCCTTATCCCAAACCCCGTATCTAAGTCCTGTACTTTACAGGGAAGAACATTTGCAGGGAAATTTGCTCGAGTTAAAATGAGTGCAGTTTGTAGTGTGAATATCTGATCTGACCTCAGAAGTTGTGAACTAAACTCAGCAATGATCGATATGTTCTTATATGACTGACCTGCTTGGCCCATGGTGGCTCGCAATCCCTGGTACCCTGCTGTCCTCCCTGGTTCCACTCATCTCTAAAAAGCTCTATATATCTTTTACCTATGGACAGGCACAAAAATCAAAGACAGTAACGGCGCGTTTTGGAACAGGGCATTTCAGGAATAGTGTGAATTCCAATCTGCTGACAACTGTGGGAGTGAATAAACATATTTTCATTAAATGACACTAATGACCCCTGTGCGACCTTTTGACCCCAATCTCTGCACAGCCCGTACTGAATCACTAGATTCCAGACTTCTTACCCATGTAATCCTTGTTTCTTTTCAAGGATTGGACGAGATCCCGTTCTGAGGAAAACTCAACGAATGCCATGCCTGCAAGGAGAGATGCAAAAACAGAGGAAGTGCCACTCCACTCCAAAAAAAAAAAGAACTCACTCACTACTCAAAATAATCGTCAGTGTAAAAGTTTATGATCAAAAACTATATCCAAGAAACAATGCAGGGGCCAATTTTGTAGAACTGCTTAAGCACAAAATTTGCTTAAGCACAAAAAAAACCTTGCTTAAAAAACAAAGGTTACCAGCTACGTGATTGTCATGCTAATCAAAAGACAGGTGAATACCATTCCAAAACAATATACATCACATGGAGTTTTGGCTGGTAACCTGATTTGTCAAGCAAGGTTTTTTCATGCTTAGACAAATTTTGTGCTTAAGCAGCTCTATGAAATTGGCCCTCGGGTGAAGTAACTTGAGATCAAAGACTGCCGTAGCTTTGACTTGCTGGGAAGTCCTGCCATACACTTCAATTCATTTTTAAAACGCTCATAAAGTGTCAGTCGTTTCTCATACCCGTTCTCTGTTTCTTCTCGTTCAGAGGAATTCGAATGGCCTTGATGGCAATTGGTGAAAAGAATGCTCGGATGTCTGTCTGAAAAAAACAACGAAATCCATTTCAAGTTTTTGTTTAATATTGAGATGAAGGTCCCTATGATGTTGCCCACCACAGATTTCGACACTAGAATCTTCCCTTTTCACAAAACAGGAGGTTCCATTCATCTTACATTACTCCATTTCAAATAAAACAGATTAAAATCTATCAATATGAGCATTTTCCAGTCACTTTTGAACAGTCACAGAGTGAGCATACATCCTCTCTTCCCGTAGCTTGAGAAGGCATGCCTAGGCACCCTACCTCCTTGACGCTGAAGGGTACGCCTCTCATCTTGAGCACGAACTGACCCCGATCAAACTTGTCGTCTTTGTTGACCGCCTTCATCAACTTCATCTGGGCCAAAACACAGAGAAAGCCACGTAACCAGTGGGCGGTGATGCATCGAGGAACAGCATCAAGAGAGTTTGTTAAAAATGCAAACCTACTCAGGCAAAAAAAAAGAAAACGAAAAAAGAGGCGCTGAAAAGAACGTAGCTATCAGCCAGAATACTGCATCAGTATGCATTGAGCACCACGGGTGTCTTACTTCTGACCCAAGTGTTCAATCCCTGTTCTTGAAATCAGGAATTCCAAGGGTTGTGTCGACAGTCCCTTTGTTGGTAATGCTAACTTTGGAGTCCCAGAACATGCAACTTCACCAAGGCTTTGATGAGTGTCAGTATGTACATGTAGGATGTTACACTGTACGTAGTGATCGTGCTCTTAAAATGTGAGCATCAGAAGAGACCAGCTTGAGAAAACTGCCAACAAGTAACAGCAGAATGTAAATGCCAATAACTTCAACCATCTTACCTTTGGCTTTTGTTGCATTTGCACTTGAGGTTTTTCTCTCTGAGGTTTCTCTTCATTTCCAGATAATGAGTCTTTCCCACTGTCTTCTTCACTATCTGTATCGCTGTCTGCGTCGCTGTCTGTGTCGCTATCAGTATCGCTGTCGGCATCAAGGGGAGCTGCTTTCTTCACCATCTTACTTCGGAGATACTACAGATTGAGATTTCAAGGAAACTATTACAACGGCGGGCTCAGTAACCGCGGGCACTGATGTGCATTTTGCTGTGGTATATTCGGTTTGAATGGTGTCTCCTCTCAAACCATCTCTGAAGATTGATTGAGCATGACGAGCGTGCACTCTTCGTGTACAACTTGTGAATTTTTGGACAGGCATATGCAACATAGTTTTTGTGTGGATTACCACTTGTCGGCTGCACAGTGCCCTTAACAATCAAGCAGGCCCAACGGCAGTTACTATAGACCTCTATCATGGGGCAGCTATCTTGCTTTTTCTACCATTCAAACCAATGTGAATAAACTGAGGCTGGGATGGAAAATAGTCTGTTCCCTTTTATCAATATGTGAAGTTGTATAACTACCGCCAATATGTCTATGGGGAACAAGACATGGTAGCATTATGATAAACGTCTATGGACCGGCGTCTTTGGAATTTTTTGCATTCACATGGAATGAATTATTCATGTGTTAACTATGAAGTTACCACTGTCCAATAAAGGTATTGCTTTCTGCCCGAATAACTTGCTATTTTCCTGCAGACGTTCAGAAGCGTTGTCTTGTGAAGACAAAAAGTCCCGACCCTGATGTGAGCTCTCGCGAGTGACACAACACAGACATGTCAATTGGTGGTTCAGAGACGTTTCTGTGGGCATGATTTGACAGCTGTCAAGACTGTAATACTAACATCCATGTCCGAGACTGGTTGATTTGCTTCTTTATTTGTCTCATCTGCTCCCTCTACTTCATCGTCAACTTCATCCATCTCCACATTTTCTTCTGAAGAGGTATCATCGCCCGAGCCTGCAGAGAATCACAGACAAAAGAAAAGACAACCTCTAATCTATTTTCGCGAGCATAGTGAGACTAAGTCCTCAACAACTTGCTCTTTATTCTCCTCACACCTGACCTCTGGCCCTACTTGTTTGAAACTGATGCGGCAATTTGACCATATTTAACCCCAACGGTCCCAAATCCTCCGATTTCAATATGATTTTACATACACCCTAGATGGTTAGGGGATTAAAGAACCGCTTTTGCAAATGGTTTTGGCTTCATTAGAAGACATCGTGATAATTCCACAGCCCAAAAAAAAAAAAAAAAGAAGCTTTTCCACAGTCTAAATCATAGGGATGGTGCCTATCGTCATACCTAAAGCAAGTCACAATTTGGGAATAAGCCCTGTGATTTGCCAAGGTGCCAACAAAAATATTCACATTCATCTGAGGAAATACAGCTTCCTTCGAGTACCTTCAGATGACTGGCTGATATCATGACCCCTGTCTTTGCCTTTAGCCTTTGACCCCTGACCCTTGGCGCTAGGCTCAACCACTGCAGTATCATTGCTCCAGAGGGGCTTCTTGCTGCGGACTTGGTGGGCCTCCTTGAATTCTTGGAAACCTGCATCATCTTCAAGCTGAATGGAGTGAGGTGGGGGGGGATTGAATTTACCATTCAGATCGATAGAAAAATTGTTCATGGCAAACTTAGCTGTTGGGATTCTCCCAATCACACAAAGGCAAGTGACCAGGGATGCGATTGGGTGATTGAACAGAAATCTACAAAACATGAAGCTAAGGGGTTGGAGCAATGTTTCATTTCCAGGGTTTTAACAGATAACAAGGCCAACTTCTCTCACAAGGAGCTATGGGTAGATGAATCTTTTTTTCCAGAGTTCTAAAAGGTAGCAAAACCTGACTGATTATATCTCTGAGAATATCCACAACTTCTGAATAAAAAAAATCCAGAAAGCAAGAAAAATCTTGGAGGCCTGACACCTATCTTTGACCGACAAAACTATTTTTACCTCATGAAGAGGGTCTGCTTTCACCTTTCCTTTCTTCTGCTTTGTTTCTGCTCCCTGAGTGAAAATGACATTAAGAATGGAAAATGATAGCTTCCATTTTGTACGAAAAGTTACAAACGGCACAGTAGACTAAAGAGGCTATCATTTCTTCTTGAGATCTCTGCACTATCAAGATTAAAGAAAGATGGAGGCTGGAACCTGGTGTCTCACTCTCACAAGCTTGGTTGGAGTGAGTCTTTTTCAGCTTTAAGATAAGGATAGAGTTACCAAGTTGCATTTTTTTAAAACAACCTCAGCCCAAGGCCATATCTTAATTAATTAATTAATTAATTAATCTTAATTAACCCCAACTCCTTGCCTATTTCACCAGGGAGCTTCCCGAATCCTGCACATTCTTTCACTGTGCACTACAGTGAATGAGTTATACGGAACTGGCACTGCGCACTTTGTACTGTTGAGCTACAGTTGGTTCATTTCCACCGACTGTCAAAATCCTGGGACTGGCTCACCTGTTGTATGGCTGTCTTCGTCTTCTCCTCGCTTTTCTTGGCTGTGTCTTTCTCCTCCTGCTTGGCCACTCTCCTCTTGAAAGCTGAGCTCTTCTCCGAGTACTTGCTCCATGGCCTGGCCAGATTGCTGTCTCCCAAATCCTTGGCAATCTCAACCTGTAGGAAACGGATGGTAGCGATCCCGACGTAGACTTCACTTCAATGGATTTCATCCATTATCCCCTGTCCCTCTCAGATTTTATGAAAAATTCACCACGTTTTGGAAGATGTTGTAGCACTGAGGAAGGCAACAGCCCCTGTCACTATTTATTTGCATGGAACTTGGTGTTGCTTGATTTTTTAGAAAAAGAAGAAAATGCCACATGGAGGTTTCTGTAATGTTGTGGTATTTAGACAGATTCTAGATAGTTCCCAACAGAAAGGACTACAGCTGATTTCACAAAATTTTACACAATGGCGTAATGTCACGCCACATTTTTATTGCCTACATTGGGCAACAAATTAAAGCAATTTCACAAAACTTACGCACTGCGTAAGTCCACGATTTGCACAACAAATTATTGCATAACTTACACAGTTATTTTTAAGATGTATTTATTTTTTTTTTTGCGTTGGGGAGATGCTAATTATATATAACAGGTTTTGCCCTTACCCAACATATAGTAAAAAAAAAAAAAACCATCTTGAAAACAGTTCGCGGTACCCGCTGCTTCATTTGACTCGGACCG